ATAACTGAAGCAGGAAATGTAGCTGTTCAGCATTTCATTTTATGTAGCAAATGTAGGGAAGAAGAACAAAAAATCAGACTTCCTAACCTGAGGACTTTCTATCTTCTTCCACAAGACAGAAAGGAAAGGAGAGAAGATGAAGTACAGATAGAGAGTGGCTATTAACACAAAACATGAAACATAGCACTTAAACTTAGAGTTACATCCTGTTAGCAGAAGTTCCCTTCCTGAGACTTTAAGCTAAAAAAATATCGAATATATGAATGATCCAGAGATATACCAGCCTTAGTCATTAAGTGCCTAACAAAGACATGCAGCTGGGCCTACATGTTGTAGGGTGCTGAAAACAAAGGCTAGTGGTTTATATCAGAGAGCATGTGCCAGGGTAATCCCAGTACTTGCTTCCTAGTGCTCTCATTTGGAAGAAAATCTGACATCAGCATAGTCATCCCAAGAGGATCTTTGTCTCTAAACTACAATTAAATGGTTCACAAATAAATATGACAAATTTCTTTACTTAACAATTTTAATTGAGAAAAAAACCTTTCAATTTATAAAGAATTTTAACCATTTTCTCTTATAAGTCATTGTTACTCAAATTAAATTACCTTTGCTCTGTTGTTGGCATTGCTTTGGAAGTCTCTTTCCTTTTCTATATTTCAAGTCTTTATGCATGTTTCACCTCCAGGATTAAAGAAAAATCGGACCTTCCCTAGGCAGTATTATATTGCTAATGCTACATGTTAATATAAAGATACATTGAGCAATAGTTAGGTATTAATTTGCATGTAACTAGCATGCATTTATTATAACATGTACTAAATTTTAAAGCTGTCAGCATTGCTAAACACTTAAATATACAAAACAACACAATAAGAAAATAAAATTTTTAGTTATTTCAAGAGGTATGAACTTTTCTAACATCCTTAATAGGATCTGGGCTCAGCTTTGCACTCCTTTTTCTCTGCTGCTAGCTCCTTGTGTTTTTGTTTGTTTGTTTGTCGTTGTTGTCTGTGTTGTTGTTGTTGCTTTTGTTGCTGTTTTTGCACTTCATACTTATGCTGAGCCAGTGAAGGAGAGAGACTGGAACTGTTTTTGATACTTAGATATTTTGTGAAGCTTTCTTCAAGAGAAAGATTATAACTCATGATTATGTGGGTAGAAACATCTCTCTTGTGGAAAGGAAAGAAATTCTGACGAATTAAACATTTTAAAAAGCTGTCTGAGCTCAAGAAGAAATTTTGAACAACTGTGAACTAATTGGACTATCATTTATCTGTTTGAGACAGCAATTTTATCAATAATTCCAACCATGTTTGGTTGCATAACCTGTGACTACACTCTCTCAGAAAAATCATACTGCTAACTTCTATTCTAGGTCCCTCATATGAATTCACTCCATTGCTGAGATCTAAAGACTGTGGTTGAAGCCAGCCAGAGAAGGAAAGTCCATGAACCTTTTACCTCCAATTGACAGCCACAAAACCTGAAGTGGAGATGTGGCACAAAGTGGTAGAGTTAGTCTCGAGCAGAAAAACTCAGGGACAGTACCCACGCCCTGAGTTCAAGCCCTGTGACTGACAGAGGGAACAAAAGACACAAATATCCACCCAGGAGATCTATATTCTGTTCCACATTACTCAAAGTAGGGTTTCACATGCTTGGACTTCTCCTATTTTTGGAAGACTCTTTTCTAGGTTTCTATCATATCATACTATGTGGCCATTCTTCTTCATCTTTTCCTTCCTTTTATTTTCACCCTATTTTCTGTGGTCCAATACTCAAAGGCCTATTCTCCACCACTCCCTTTTCTGTCTGGGCAATCAGCCCTATATGATTTCTTTCTCTCTGTTCCTAGATCAAGCACCCCAGTGCGCCCCCAATGCATACCTAATATCCAAATGATAATTAGAGAAAAATGTTCAGCCCTTTGACATTTCTACTTTGATATTCAATGGTGTTTCAAGCTTAATATTTACAAATGAAAACTCTTAGTCCTATGCATAAGCCATATATTGTATATAAGATAAACAGGAGGTCCAGATCATAAGACATGAGGTACAAAGAGCTTTTTGGAAATGCTCAACAGTGTTTAATCATAATGATCTGTACAACTTGGGGGTGGGGAAGGAAAGTAGAAAAATGAGGGATGGGATAACAAGTTGGACAAGAAATATACTTATTACCTTATTTATGTAACTGTAACCCCTCTGTACATCACTTTGACAATAAAAAATAAATAGATGATATGTTAAATAATGAAAAATGCTCAACAGTTTTAATCATTATCGAAATATTATTTCCCAAATCTCTAAATGTACAATCAAAACAAAAGATTTATAAAATCTATCTACAATGACTCTACCAATATCATTTCAAAGGTATTTTAAAGGAGCCTGGATGTAGCTCAGATAGAATGCTTTCCTGGTTTTAATTAGATTCTGGGTTCAGTTCGCACACGTGTGCACATACACACACATCTTGTTTTACTTTTTTTTTCTTTTTCTCTTTTTTTTTGAGATTGGTTGAATTTTTATTTATTTTTAATGTTTTTTATTGTGTAAATACGATACAAAAGGGTTACAATTACATGAACAAGGTAATGAGTACGTTTCTTATCAAGCATTGTTGCCTCCTCCTTTCTTTTCCCCTTACAATCCCTGCCCTCCCATCTCCATGACTCCCCTCCTTCAACCTACCCCCTAAGCCCCGCCAAAGTTGTTGTGGGGTTTTTTTTGTGGATCACTTGTGCTTTTTTTTCTGCCAAAGTTGTAAAGTTCGTTTTTCAATATAGCATCTTGTACATTTCATTGTTGAAACGGGTCCGCCTGTATCCCTATTTAAACAATTTGTTGTTTCCCTTGCCCTCCACAATTTATACCAACATCAAATACAGTGACCTGTATCCCTATTTAAACAATTTGTTTTTTCCTTTCCCCTCCCCAAATTATACCAACATCAAATACAGTGAAAACAGGGGTTATACTGTGGGGGCGGGACATACAAAGCAACAAAGAAATCATGTTGTAAATACGTTAGAAACAATAGCAAGAAAGAAAAAACCACCTGTCTCCTCATCTTGGGGTTCATTTCACCTAACACCATCTTATCTGACCATTTCTGCTTGTCTCTTCCCTTATTTGCTTGCAGATAAGGGAAACCATAGGACCTATCTGAAAAAGGAAATCAAAACCAAACTTAGAAAATGGCAAAACCTCCCATGTTCCTGGATTGGAAGGATCAACATCGTGAAAATGGCAATACTTCCCATAGCTATGTACAAATTCAATGCAATACCTATTTATATTCCAACCTCATTCTTCAAGGCAATAGAAGAGGCAATTCAAAAATTCACATGGAACAATAAAAGACCCCAAATAGCAAAAACGATCCTTAAGAGAAAGAACAGTCCTGGAGGAATATCAATACCAAATTTCAAACTCTACTACAGAGCCATAGTACACACAGCTTTTAAATCCATGAAACTAACTATTCCTAGGCTAGAGACAGAGGCACATACCTGTAATTCTGGTTACTTTAGAGTCTAAAATTTGAAGATAGCCTTACAGGCAAAAATGTGTGAAACTCCTGTTTCACTGGTATGTGCCTGTCATGACAGCTATTATGGGAAAAGGAAAGCAGGAGAATCATAGTCCTTGTGCATGTTCAGACAAACAAGACCTTATCTTGAAAATAACCAATGCAAAAAAGAAACACAGAGCTTGCCTAGCAAGTGTGAGACCCTAGTTTAAAAACCTGTTATGTACCACTAAACGGAAAGGAGACCTATTCCTAGACTCTCTCAGGTACAGATTTACAGAATGTTCTGTCCACAAGATTTATCTATAGTGAGTAATCCTTTCTAAATTTTGCATCTTCCTGAAATGGAACATGCCCAGACATATCCCCAATGTACTTTCTTAACTCACAACAATCGTATTGTGCTCTTGCTTTCTTTTGCATAGTTTGACAGAATAAAAAAATGACATTTTTTTACTAGCATAAATAAATTCATGGCTGGACTTGGTGGCTCATGCCTATAATTCCAGTCACATGGAAAACAGAGATCAGGAACACAGTACAAGGCAAGCTCAGGCAAAAAGTTAATAGTCCTGTCTTAACAGTGTCCTATCCTCCATGGTGATGCATAGGATCTGTAAACCTAGCTACTAGCAAGCCATTGTGATTCAAGGCTACCACTGGGAAAAGTTGTGAAACCCTACCAAAAGCATAGCTAGAACACAAAATGGTCTGGAGTTGTGGGTCACATGGTAGAGTGCACACTTAGCAAGAATAAAGCTCCAAGTTGAATCTTTGTTCAACCAATAAATAAGTAATAAGTAAACAAACAAATTTAGTAATTGTATTTCTAAAAATTGCTCTGCTTTGTTTCAACAAATAAGCCCAAAGTCAACTTGATTGCTCAAGTTCAAACCAGAGTATCTTCTTGATTCTACTGTGTATACCTCGCACCCCAAATACTGTATTTTTCATTTTATGTTATCCAGATCTCCAAAATGCATCCCAGTTGATCACCTTCTCATTTACTCCTAGAACTCTAATGCGTGCTAGAAGTCTCCTTCCTTCAGAACATATGAAAAACCACTAAAACTGCTTTTGAGTTCTCCCTGTTTTCATGTTTCCCTCACTATGCGTTCACTATAAAGAGAAAAATATTCTCTACAACATGATTTCTGTGATCAGTTTCTCTTTGCTTATAATCCATCAGTGACATTTTCTTACAACTTAAAGTTCCCACTTGTATATCACAAATATCACAAACTGCACTCAAGAAAGACCCTCCTTATCTAGCACCTGCCCACGTTTGAAGCTTTTGGTCTAATTCCAATTTCACCACATTGGCATCTGATGCTCCCTGGCTGGACTATCCTTCCAGTCCAGTTGAATTCTTTTTCCTAGTTGAATCTATATTCTAGTTAGAATATTGCCATGAGATGTAAAAGTTCCCACTTCCCATCCGCATGAGAAAAAGTCATCTTTTAAAAGGCCCCTTCTGATACTCGGTGGGAATTCTTGAACCTTCCCAGTGTTCTCCTGAGTGCTCCAGTCACATCCTTGTTTCTCAGGCTGTAGATGAGAGGGTTCAGCATGGGTGTGAGGATGGTGTAAAACACAGAGAAGACTTTATCCTGCGTTGGTGCGTGGTAAGTGTGTGGCACCATGTAGGTGTACATGGCGGCCCCATAGAACAAGGTCACCACAGTCATGTGAGATGAACAAGTGGCAAATGCTTTCTTCCTCCCCTCTACAGAGCTCATGTTGTAGACAGTGGTCAGGATCCGGGCATAGGAAGCAATCACCACCGAGAAAGGAATTAGTAGCATGAGAACACAGCACACATACATCACTGTCTCATAAAGGGCTGTGTCTGCACAAGCCAACTTCAGCACAGCCGGGGCTTCACAGAAAAAATGGTTAATCTCTCGAGAACCACAGAAAGGAAAGCTCATAGTGATGGGGGTAAGAAGAAAGCCATCCAAAGAGCCTCCAAACCAGGACCCTGCTATTATCATCCAGCAGATTCTGCGACTCATGAGGACAGGGTATCTCAGTGGGTTGCAGATGGCCACATAGCGGTCATAGGCCATGAGACCCAGCAAGAAGAATTCAGCTCCTACCAGGGTAAGGTAGAGGAAATGTTGGGCTGTGCATCCCACAAAGGAAATGGTCCTTTGACCCAGGAGATAGTCGATCAGCATCTTTGGTACAATGGTGGAGATATATATCATGTCGATAAAGGACAGATGGCTGAGGAGGAAGTACATGGGGGTGTGTAGGCGTGGATCTGTGTTGATCAGGAAAATCATGATCCCATTGGCCACCAGGGCAGTGAAGAAGATGACAGAGATTATGACAAAGAGAAGGCTTGAGGTTTCTTCCCTGTTGAACAGCCCCATGAAAGTGAAGTCTGTGGAGGAGATGTTTTGCCTTTCCATTGATCTTATGATGGTGCTGACACAACTCAGAATCCTCCAAACAAAATGATGATATTCTGAGGGAATTTACCTAACAATATGTGTATTGACTCTTAAACATCGGACTGCTAAAAGATAAAAAATAGTTTTCTTAGGTTTTGAAAATGACACATTTATAAAACTATTCTATACAATAATGTTAATCTACGCACATTTTAAATAAAGTTTATCATTACTTATGATAATTCATTAAATATGACCATATAATTAGCAAATGCTTCCAAACTACAATATGCTCATAATTATACACTTAGTGCATATATTATACAATATATCTCTGTGTGTGTACCACAGTAGATTATTTAAATTTGTAAAATTCTTTCTTTTTTGTTTTTGTTGGTCATGGGGCTTGAACTCTGGGCCTGGGCGCTGTCCTTGCACTCTTCAGCAAAAGGTGAGCACTCTAGCTCTTGAGCCACAGCGCCACTTGCAGTTTTCTAGTGGTTTATTGGAGATAGGAGTCTCACGGTCTTTCCTGCCTGGGCTGGCTTTGAACCACGATCCTCAGATCTCAGCCTCCTGAGTAGCTAGGATTACAGGCATAAGCCACTGGTGCCCGGCCATAAATTGGTAAAATTCTTTACATCTTTCTATGGTCATTATGATCACCATCTTCCAAACATCTCTGTTCCTAGCTGTGATTATCTATTAAGAAATGTGAGTAAACTTCCATTACACTGTAGGTCATTATACACATTATGACAGTACAATTAGGGTTAGGCAGAATATGTTGGATAAAATGAACTTGGCAATATAAACAAATCTTGTAAATTGAGACCTAAAAAGATTGTCTGATATAAGAAGAATCACTGTCCATGCTTATTTGATTTCTTTTTAAGAAAGAAGTTTTAATTTTAGGATGATAGGAATTAGTATAAATATAATTATCAACTAGAATTTAGAGGAACTAGCACTAGAAAACACATTGAATTATAGTTGATACCTTGTTTGTAGCTTATCTTCTGTATCTATTCACCCTTTGATGTACATAGTGTAACTAAGAATTAAGTAACTCTAAAGCCTCTCCCTTGGCTGAGTAATTCATAACCTATTACTGAAAGTTTGGGCCAAGGAGTCTCAGTTCATTCTGTGTTCTTACTCATGGCCAAAACAATACAATATTTACCATATCCATGATGTAAAATGTGCCACACATTTTATTCTGTTAATTTTTTTGCTACATGTATTAATTCACGAATAAGAGAAAAGATAAGTTGTTATAATGAGAATTGTTTTTTAAAGGATGAAAGCAATGTTTACCATATTTCATTTTATTTTATACTTCTAATTCCAGAATTTTTGGTGCCAGGTTCCATAAATTTCACTTTACAATCTGCTTTATTAGCCTTTGCCTTTTAAGTTTTTGCTTGGGATCCATTTAAATGTGTATGTGAAGGGAAAATGCTGTCTGGTTTATGAAACAGCATCAATATTAATCATATCCTGCTCCTTCACACTTCCCACATTATGAGTTTAATGTCAGTCATTTTTCAGTTCCAAAAATAAAAATATTTTGCACAGGTAAGTACTTTTCTCTGCAGTTTGTCCATGCTTAGTCTTAAGTATATATTTAAAACTTTTGCAGTCCTATCTTTTCTAGCTAGCTATTCTTGCAGACCCAGAATTACAGACCAAGTCTGCAGTTCATTTGCCTTGTTTTCCTCTTTGTATATAAAAGGTCTAACTCATCAAAGCCTCCCTCATTGTGAATTGTGATTCTAAACAAAACACTTGATTGAATTTATTACCTGTCCACTCACTGTAGAGTAAGGTAATGAAGAGAACATATATTTCAGTTTCTGTTAAGCACAGATTGTATCATGTTGCACACAAGAATATAATCAGAAAATATATAAAATGACCCTAGATCTCACTCAAAAATGTGCATTTAAAGTGATAAAGTAAGTATACAGTAAAATAATATTTTCAATTACATGAACTAAGTTCTTTCTCCGGTCATGACATTATTTGACACAAGAGCCTCTTTCTCAAAATCTTGGTGTCATCTCTTTAGATTATGCTGGGTTAATAAAACATTCAAAGATGTTATAAGGAGTAAGAGGTTGGCTGGGGTGGAGATAATTGGGGGACAATGATGAGGGGGTGACATTGATCAAGATGCATCTTACTCATAATCGACATGCTGAGTTGAAACTCCTTTGTACAACTACGTAAAGATAATGAAGAAACAAATTGATAGTCATAAGTGAAAACACTTTACGCTATGCAAAGTAATGGAAACGTCTTACAAATATATTCTTTTTGACAAAATCATTAATAAAATATGAGTATCCCCCAGCTCTCTTTTAAGCAATCTACATAGTCAACTAAAATCTATGAATTTGAATTGCAAATACCTCTCAATCTTCAGCTGTATTAATGAAGGACAGTCCAGCAAAACAGATTCAGTAGTTAGGTTCTGTATCACTTTCTTCAAATATCACTCCACTCGAAGGAAATTTTATTTCATAGAAATTCTCTGAAAATTTTGTTCATTGTAATTAACCCTGAAGAAAATCTACGTGTTTTAGAGGGGCATGGATGTTCACAACCTGCAAATTCTGAGAATAAAATGAAAAATATAAAGTACTTTATTGGGTAAAATTATTTTCCAGACTTAAATTACATTTGGCTTCATAATAACACATCCACATACACACACAGCATCCTGACATTTGCAAATATCTCTTTCTCTGTAAGAAATGCATGTTTGTTTAAATGTACGTACTTGCAAATTTCTCCCACTTTGCTGTATATTGGAGTTAAGATGAAATTCTTGTTCAGGTCTGTAATGGTCTCTAAGACCATCCTCAAACCAAGCACTAATAGATTAGATTGTCAGTTTTATGTGAATTGTATATGATTTCAATGTGACCACTGGTTGAGTATCTGCCAAATGAAAGAGTAAACACTGTTTTTAATGTAACATCCTATATTCAGGAAACTGTGTTAGCACAGATTACAATTTTACCCATGCAATTTCCTTCCCCATTTTATTTTATTTTTTTCATGTAATTATAAAGCACAAACACAGGGCCTTACATCTCCCACCCATTTTTCTCCCTTTATATTAACCCTCCATAATGTAGCTATAACTACAAAGTCTTCTGTTTTTTCCTCTGTGTCAAATTCATCTATGAATTATTTGCCAAAATATTTGTTTCAGTCCCTTACTTGCAGACACATACTTCAAAGGCAGTATGTTAAGTGAAGTCAATTCTACAGGTACAAAGGGCTTGTATTGTGGCTCAAGTTAGAACTAACTTATAAAGGTATAAGTAAACATATATGGGTGATATGCAAGTATCTGAGAATGTATTAATTGAAGTACATGTTTGCAGGGGAGAATTCAAAGTGTAATTTTTCAGAAGAAGCAAACCACAGTGCAATAAAATGAACATTAGGGAATTGGTACTTGAAAGGTGTTGGGTGAAGGTTGACAGGAGAGGTAGACAAATGGAGAGAGAGAGGGATGAGAACACAGGCATCATATTCCATGTATACCTTAGGAAATTAAGAAAATAGAAAGGAGAGGTTGGATTGTTAGGAAAGAAGGAGTATGATGAAAAGGTTTACATCAATCAAGAGACAATATATTCATAAACTTATTTGTTGAAAGCTAACTCCTTTGTGCAACTACTTAAAGATAATAAAAATATAATTTTAAAAATTAGTATGTCAATTGCAGAAAATTAGGTATTATTTTTTCTAGTACAGAGAGTATGGAAGATATGACCTTTCTATTTCTATTTCAGAGACATCTTATTATTGATTCATTATTTACACATTAGAATTTCAGTGATATTTACCTGAGAGGTTTTCAAGCTAACACAATACAAAGTTGTAGAATTTTGGAACCGAAATTTAAATGTATGTCTAGATAGTTTTTGTCTACCTAAATCCCTAAAGTAAAATGATTAAACTCAAATTGAAAGAAGCATAGTGAAATGCTGATGTATTTATAAAATTTTGGAGTGACTTAAAACCACATTACCCCTTAGAACCTTAAGACAACAGAAACCAGAGTAATCCCCACATCTAGAGAAATCTGCTGTTTCCTATGGAAGTTTATTCCATGTCTTAGTGTTGTACACATGAAAAACTGCCTGTGAATCGCTGGTAGGGAGGGTCCGATGAATGCATTTACAAATTTTTACACCTTTTATCCTAAAAGAAAGCCCTTCAACTTGAAGTCAGAGGAACTATGAACTCTTTCTTGCATCACTTCTAATGATCCACGTGAGTATGAGAACCTACTCACAGTGAGAACAAGCAAAATGACAATGCAACATGCAAAAAGCATCAGGAAGCCTGCTTCATAACCAGTATTTTAGAAACTAAGATGGAAAATTGCATACAGTCTGTATCTTACAAATGTTGGACTGATCCAATTCACTAGAATTTAAATGACATACGACACAAACATATTTGAGAAAAAGATTCTTTTTGCTCCCTCTATTCAATGCCACCTTTCCACTTGATATTTGCAATATTCACTCAATATAATTTAACAAGGCTGTTTCTGAATGTACTAATTACCTGGAGTGGGAGATTCATGGCAATGAATGTATGAATCCTGCTTTGAATTTGCATCTGAGACATGCAGCCCAGAAGCTACAAATAATCATACCTCAGTTTCCTTGGATCCAATTCTGCAAGTCTTGTTTGGATCAAACATAGAATGTAAATTCAATCAGACCACTTATGGTATGCTGTGGGGACATTCTGGGTTTTGTTTGTTTGTTTTGTCCTGGTCCTGTAGCTTGGACTCAGGGCCTGGACACTTTCCTTGAACTTTTATTCTTTTCTTTTCTTTTCTTTTTTCACAAGGCTAGTGTCATAGCTCCACTTCCAGCTTTTGAGTAATTAATTGGAGATTCAAGCCTCACAGGCTTTTCCTGCCTGGGCTGCCCTTGACTCTGAATCCTCAGATCTCAGACTCTTGAGTAGCTAGAATTAAAGACATGAACTACTAGTGCCAGTTAGTCTGCTGTTTTAAAATCAGTTACTTTATCACACAAATTATTTTTGAAGTAATAGTATCAGGAAGGATCATGGAGCATAGCAGTTTTTGATCT